TCAAAATGGGTCCAATTGAGGGGTCCAAATGGGTTTTAGAGACATTTGGAGTGATTTTGGTTGCTTTGGGAAGGTTTGGGTTGCCAAGGGTATTTTTGTAATTTTGGCAATTTTGGGGGTATTTTGGTAAATTTGGAATTTTGGGTGGTTTTGGGTAGCTTGGGTGTTTTCAAAAGATTTGAAATGACTTTTGAACAATTTTGGGTATTTTGGATGAATTTGAGGATTTTTGTCAAATTTGGGATTTTGGGGTGTTTAGGTAATTTCGGTAGGTTTGGGGGCAAAAGACCGAGTTGGATATTTTTGGTAGAATTGGGAAGCTAACCACCAAAGATGAGCTATGGACCAATGGAATCCTCTTTTGGGTCATCTATGTATTGGTCATAGCTAAACCCTAGCCTAGGGCCAGTGGGTTTAGGGGACCATCTACATGAGTCTCCCAAAGGATCACGGGATCAAAGTCATCAATTTCACTCACTTGCACTCACTTGCACTCATTATCACCTATATCCACTCATTATAACCTATACCCTTTTGGGTCCTAACTGATTTTCAATAATTCATATTGTTGCATCTTCACTTTGCAGTTGATTCTGTATTTGTATCATAATTTCTTCCAAAGACAACTTCTTTTTAAACTGCATATTTAAAGTGAATCCAGGTGGATAATTTGGTCTAAGGTTGCCATCATCTTAATTATTCCAATTACATACATGTTAAATTGATTATTTCCCCACTCTTATGTTTTTATACGAAGATTACCGTTATTCCAGTTAAAGTTCGGATGATTTTTCCATCTTGGGTTTTAGGTATTTAAATATGGGTTATTGAACCTATTGAATATAGCATTCATGGATTTTATAGGCAAAGCACTAGGAACCACCATTTGTCCATAAGCATTCTCTTCTATTGCAGATGATTTGGGTGCATTATCTAACTTCTTTGAGATATCAACTACTTGGGATGCTAAAAGTACTAATATATATGTCTATGTCACGAATGCTAGTTATCTTTCTTGGGTTAACCTATCTAATGGTCATTGAATGTTATTTATCATCATTTCTTCAATAAGTGTATATGCATCCTCAAATGGCTTAGACTTTAGTGATTCCTCTGTCGTTATTCTATTATGGACTTAAGAGATCTCACTAGCTCATTATAAAATCTTTGAATTATGAGCCAATTGATAGAGCATGGTGGGGAAATCTTCCCTAGGCTTCGTAAATTGATTCTCCATCTAATTAGCTAAATAAAGTGATGACATTCCAAAATTTTATCATTTTTGATGGAGGGAAATATTTTATTAGGAATTTTCTGGCTAACTCATTCCATGTGATGATAGACCGTAGTGCTAAAGAAATGAGCCACATTTTAACCTTATCCCTAAGTGAGGAAGGAAAAAGCCTGAGCCTTACGGTGTCATTGGAGATGTTGCTATAGCAAAATATAGCACAAAATTCAAAGAAGCTAGCTAAATGGAGGTTAGGATCTTTCATGGGTAATCCTATAAATTGGTTGTTATGTATGATAAGAAAATATCTTGCAGAAATAGGTTAAACCTTTGAATCACCAAGGTTTCTTGAGTTGTTATTTACTAAATAAATTTTTATGCTTAGCCTCACGATAATGGCTATATTATATTAATTTTAAAGAGTAAGTTGTAGATGTGGAAATATATAGCCTATACTATAAGGATTGGGCGACTAGAAGGATGTGTTAGATGAGATTTGAAAATATTATGGAAGAAATGTTTATCAATTAGAGGTTTTAACTCTTCGATAAAAGAGATATTAGTTTGGAAGAGACGATTTATGGTAATAAAATTATATGTAAATAGATAACTATGGTTACAACAAGGAAGAGTGGTAATTCATAGATTTTGGCTTTGAAAGTGTAGCAATTTGATAGTTTGGGAGAGGAAGGGAGAATGAAAGTTAAGCAATGGACTTGTTGAGTCCTTCTAGGAGGTCAGGCCCCATATTGTTCATACAACTTAGGAGAGACAGATATAAAGAATGTGAATGAAGAGAATAAATGTGTTTTGTAGGCTTGAATTATGTGTTCACTCAATGACCCTTCTTCCACGAAGAGGAGAAGATGGTCCAACAAACAAGGATTGAATGAGAAAGGGATCTAAGAGCTCATGAGAGAATCACAGAGTGTATCCCTCAAAATGACCCAGAGTGTCAAAAGTCCACCATCCCTCCAGTCTCTTTACCCCCACTTGTATATGTTTAATAAATTATTAAAATACATGTCATAAAATACTTAATCTGTTCACATAGCTTCAATGAAAAGATTATGACATGGATGTCAGACGATACATAAATGAGGATGTGACATATGTCTATCTTCGATGTTGGTCTCGACTTTAGCTTTTTTGTATTTCTGAGGATCCCCAACGAGGCAAGCTAGGTTGGTGAGTTAGGCTTGTTAGTTCGTCGGTTGAAACTAATATACTAGTTCGGCAAGCTAGTTTGTTAAGTCAGTTCAACGTGTCAATTTATCAAGTCAGTTCTGCATGTCATCTTGGCAAGTAGAGCATACTAGCTAGCAAGTCGGAGAGTTAGGCAGATAGGTTGCCATAATCGATCTTCTCGATGATGATTGTACCTTTTGTTTAGATTGGTCTGACCGTCAAGAGCCCTGGGGCCTATTGGACATGTGCTTCATCATAAAAAAAAAAATTGGTTTAGGTTAGGAGCACCATTCGTATAAAGAAACATATAGCCAATATGAGGAATAGTTTTTCTTCGACGTCTATTCATATGTTAAAGAATATGAATATATAAATACATAATTAACGCATTGGAGGATGATGCCTTAACACTGTTCAAATTTCATTATGGTATAGAGTGAAGAATTAGGAAAAGGCGCAAACATAAAAAAAGGACAGTAATAACATTAAATTCATAAATTCATTTAATAATCATTGAGGCTATACATCTAGGATGAGTTAAAAATTTCTGATCAATATTTTGATTTCTCTCTGGGTCTAATAAATATAAAAAAAAGTGAGAGAAGGGGTGGATCATCTTAGGGTCCGTTTGGGGCCGCTTATTTAATGCGGTGATATTTTGAAAATGCATCTGGTCTATTTGGGTAAACTGCATTTTGACAGCTTATGCGTTATAAAAATGCTGAAAACAGCATTTTCACACCGCATCTGTCTAGGTACGGTGACAGCTTTCGGGCTGTAATTTGGCTTTTCCAAAAAAATAAAATTTGTAATAGCTACCGCACCTAACTTATCAGCAGATTAATTTTAATAAGCTTATCAGTAGATGATTCAATAGCTTCAGCTGCAGCTGCCCCAAACAGACCCTTAATGTCCATGATTGTTCAAATATTGACAAGGTAATGCATTATTAGATTGAATTCTTTATTTTATTTTGAGGAGAACATCCTAGTTTTAAATAAAATAAATTATTTTAAAATATGTGATGGAAATTAAGCCAGAAATGTATCATCTAATACATTATTAATTTATTTAGTTCATAATATTATACTTGTTTACTTTACGTAAACCTAAATTCGCCTCTATATTTTAGTCGGGCCACTTTCCAGATTGGCCTCAAGGCCCTCACTATTTTAAAACCGATTTAGTCGGTCAAGAGCCTTTTGCTTAAGCTGCAATTAGAGGTTGCTTTTTAAACAAATACACCCAGATCTTATCTTTGAAAATAAATAATAGGGGCATTTACATATATATATGTTTACTTATCTAATATCTAGAATTTCATTTTTCAATTATAAGATCTAAATTTTTTATGTCACAATAAATGTATTATTATTTTAATTAAAAAAATAAATTAAAATTTTAGTATTAGAAATAGGAATATAAAAGAATTAATATATATTGCACGACTACGAACACAAAAATATGACACGAAGCAGATACAAGATATGTATATCATTGAAAATATTGAGCACAGACATGCTACACGATATAATAAAAATTATTAATATATATGTATATATATATATTAAATAAAACAATATTAAGAATAATACAATAGAAAAATAAATAAATTTAAGAACACTAACTTTTAAAAATGAAGAGCTCATTTGAAATTACTTTTATTTCCTATTTTAGTTGATATAATTCTTCTATATTTTATTTTTTATTTAAGAAAACAAATTAAATTGTATTTAAAATTCATCAAAAGTAAGCAAAATTATTTTATATTACATCAAAATTTAAGTCAACTTGATCAATTACTTTTTAAGAGAAATAAAATCATCATTGGTTCTTTGGCACCAAATTCTTTTGTATTTACATTTCAAAAACCTAAATTTTAAATTTGTTATGCCACTATAATCTTTTATATTACTATTTTCAATTTTTAAAAGTTATATATATATA